CTTTTTTTTTTTTTTAATCTTAAATCTAACTTGACTGGATCTGAATTGGCCTGGCCTGCTTTCTGTCTAACCCTCCTCACTCCTGTACTTGTAATTACCTGTCTCTTCCCCAACTCCACTGCAGGAGTCTCTTCCTAATTATGTTGTACAAAAGAGAGGAGTAGGATTTGAGGAAATAGTTCCTCAAATATTTAAATATTTAAAGAAATAGTTCCTACCCTCCAGACACAAGGGACTATTACACATGTACTGACATTATCTCATTTCAATACTTTCTACTTATTATATTGATATTATGTTTATCAATGTTAAAGAAGTGGTGTCACCCATAATGGCTATATAGAATGAGAGATTACCCATAATGGCTATGTAGAATGAGAGATTAGCTACAGGGAGATCAAGAAAGCCTTCCTGTCCAAGATGGAACAGGAAGGATAGCAGAATTTAAACAGGTAATTTTTTGTGAGGGAAGGGCAGGGAAAATGACATGTTTTTGGCATTTGTGAAATATTTTATAATTAGAATAAACAAAATGAAATAAAAAAACAAACAAATAGAGACTGGAAAACCACTTAGGAGCCTATAATACAATGTTTGCTTTTAAAACGATATGACACTCAATGAGAAAGGGTAGAAAAACAAGGTGTGGACTGAGAGGCAACATGTGGATCCAACAACTTATACATAGGTGCTGTCTCAGACGTGACATCTGAGGCTCCAGAACTGGAAGTTAATGCCATCGAGTAAATTCATATGTATATATACACACACATATATACACACACATACATATGTATATATACACGTGTATATATGTGCATATATACATATATACATATATACATATATACACATACATATATACTTGTATGTATATATACATACATATGTGTATATATGTATATATGTGTATATATACATACGTATGTACATATACACATATGTATGTGTATATATACATATACATATACACGTATGTATACATACATATGTACATATACACATATGTATATGTATATATATTTATATATTTATATATGTACATATGTACATACATATATGTATATATACACATATGTACATGTATATTATTTCTTATAATGTGCTATTTATATGTATATATGTATGTATATATACATACACATGTATATATACATATATACATATGTGTGTGTATATATATATGTATGTATATGAATATATATAATTTTTTTTTGAGACTGTGTTTCCCAGGCTGGAGTACAGTGGTGTGATCTCAGCTCACTGCAACCTCCGCCTCCTGGGTTCAAGCAATTCTTGTGCTTCAGCCTCTTGAGTAGCTGGGACTACAGGCATGTGCCACCACGGCTGGCTAGTAAATTCATTGGTATCGAGTCATGGATATGTCACTGTAACTCTGCATATGTATGTATAAATATTTATAAATCCATATTTTCTAAGCATTTGAATAATTTGAAAAATAAGCAGGGAAAAGTGAAGGTTGTCTTACTCTATATATTCACTGAGTAAAATTATTAAGTAAGAGGATTATTTCTTATAATGTGCTATGAACTAGGATCAGTTCACAAGGGAATATGCAAGGGAGAAAGTAGCTAATGTAGTCCTGGAGGCACAGATAGTTTGTCCAAATCGCAGGAAATGATGCTCCATTGAGCTTTGTAGTTATCGGACAATTTATAGAGTTAGTTTATTTCTGTTCAGTGTATTTTTTTGAAGAAAGATCGAGAAAATAGAGTATAAGAGGTAGGGGTTTGCAAACCATTTATATGTGAAAGGTTGACATCTTGTAAATGGACTGATTATCCCACAATGCTCTAGAAAACAAAATTAGAATATGTTGAGTAGATTTTAGCTTCTGAAAATTTTAGTTCCTATAAATTTTAGCTCCTGAAAACATTAAACAACTCATACAACTCAAATGGAAAAGATTCTTTCCTGAGTAGTGCTGACTCTTTCTTCCTACATACTTAACAACATCCCTAAGTAATTTCTGCTTTGCATAGAAGACTGGACTGGATGACACTTTCCTGCACCCTATAAGATTTGTGATTCTGTCTTCTCATGAGAGGTGATGTAGACAATCCTCTGTGTGCATGATAAATGGAGCCCATTTCGTTTCACTCTGTTCTCAGAATGCCTCCAGTTACATTTCTGTTTTACTCACATTAACTTGGGTCTTGGTGGTAGTGCTGTTTAGCACAATGCCTGGATACAGTAGACACTCAAAACTACTTGCTGCTAGGTTGATTTACTTTTGTGAATATGCAGAGGAACAGAAGCACAATGTCCGAATTTACCATTGCTTTCAACAGTAAGCAGCCACAGAGTCTGGCCAACAGATGTACAGAAATGAGAAGAGATGATGGGAGAACATCCAGAATACAACCTTAGCACACATGGGCTCTGTTATCTATGAGTAAAGTAGCCTGAAAGATTTATTAACTCTGGTTACCTTAACAGTTGATAGAATTGTTTTAGGTGGCCCAAATGAATGGAGATTCATTGTATCACCTCTCTATTTTGTTCTTGCAACCTGGCAATGAACATATCCTCTCCTTCCTCTATGTTTCTTTGATCTTACTATTTCTCTTATCTTAGTATCCAGTGTTTTACAGTTATCAGGTGAATTAATTTTTTCATAGAATATTCAAATACTTTGTCCTGTCTACTTCTCAGAATTCTGATCATTAACAAAGATACACAACTGGAATGTGCCAAGGTTCACAGGAAGAGATTTTAGAAAATAACCTGTATTTGTTTAGCTCCATTTACTAGATAGCTCTTAGAAACCATATGAAAGACTGTGTGTATGACAAGACTGGGTACATAGGTGTCTGGAATAAAAGTGAAGGTGGGCTAGACAGAGAACGGTGTTCTCAAGGCTTGTCAGGAGACTGTTGCCAGACACCAGAGAAAATGGCTTCTGACTGCTTTTGTCGAACTAACTGGCAGACATCCTTGTTCTGACCCCAGCTCCCACACGCCTCTTGCCAGCCTTATGAGGGCTTTAATTTTCCAGGCAATTCTGTGGTAAATTCAGTGCTGCTCTACTCACTTCCATATAGATGTACCTAAATAATCCACATTCGTTTTGATTCTTTAGTAAAATAGTATATTTCCACAAATTTCTTAGAAAAACACATAATTTATAAAAGCAATGAATGATCTATCTAAAAACTTAGTGAATTGGAGACAAAGAAAATGAGGAAATAAAAAGTCTCTGTAGTTCTGCTGTCTAGAGTTAACCAGTGAAAATAATGGCATACACTCCAGGCTTTTTTCTATGCACAAAATTACATATTTGGGTTTTTAAAAAAATGGAACCACATAATCAATACAGTTTGGCAACTTGCTTTTTAAAAAGTTAACACTGAATCGCAAACATTAAAGTTTGCATATATCTCAATTATGTGAAATTAACAAAATTTATCTTTTGTTGGACACTTAGGTGGTCCTGAATTGTTATTATAATGAACGTATTTATTATTAATAATATAATGATAAATGTATTTCTTAATAATATACTAATGACAAATGTATTTCTTTTACAGAAATACTCTTCCTACATCTTTGTTGGTAGCTAAATGATTAGTGCTTCTCTGAAGCCAGGCTATGGGGTAACCTTTTTCCAAGGCTGGGGTTGGGGGTTAAAAGTGGGGAGAGTCATAATGCCCTAGTGTTCTAGAGAGAAGCCTGGGTGCTGGGCTTCCTTAGAAGAGGACTCATTGCCTTTCCACATCTGGTGACCATACTGCTGTTTGTAGGGGAGAGAGGAGAATCAGAGAAGCAATGCACGACATACCTCAAAACAAAAGGAGTTATACAAACAAAAGCTCAGAAGGGCCTGGTGCATCTGGGAAAGATGAGGCTTTCACAGTGGTCGTATCATAGGGGTTTGCAGGGGAGATGAGATTATAGAAGTAGACTTCAGAAGCATCATCAAGGAACTAGCTGTGGAGTTTGTACTTTGTTGTGTAGACAACGAAAGTTTTGATAAAGAGCTTGTATTCTTCAACCATTGGTATCATCAGGCCAAATTAAGATGTTTCTTTCTAGTCATGGGTCTTGATTTTCTTTTTATTTGTGTTTTGGGCTTTGTTACATTATCTTTTAGTGGTGGCATAATGGTCCAAGCCTCACTTTTCAGTTTTACCTTTTATTTGTTTATTTACTTGTATATCCAAGATGTTTTCAAAGCCACCTTATTTGTTCCACACTGTTTGTTTGGAAGTCAAAGCTGGGATCAGTGACTTGCTTAGTTCTAACATGTAGCTGGGACAATTTATAGAACTGATTCCATGAAATGATCTATTCAAAATCATGGTGGTCAGGCAATGGACACATGAAACTACAAAATATATTGCTACTGTTAAGTCCGAACGGTAGTTTACAGAGGAATGATTTTCCTCAAAGTCCTTAGAAAATTCCACTGCATACTTTTTGGAATGTTTTAGCCGAGTTAAGGCAAGGGTTAAGAGATGCAGAAAAGGGAATTCAAAATTAAGGAGAGTGGTATCCTTGTAGTTACCAAGCAGAACATCTAAAAGTAACATTTGTCACATACCATTTTCAAATTAGTATCAGGTGCTCTAAATTCATTTCTTAAAACTATTTGTTAGCTTATCTATAATTTATTTATTTAAAAATACTTCTCTGAAATTAATTTGTGTTGGCTTTGCATTTCCTGTTCTCAGAAGTATGAGAAGATCAATTACTGATATCAATGTTTGTTGTCCCTTAGGTGATTCTCTCTATGCGTATCTGACTTACTACAGAAGTTATCATTTTTGTAGTTCCAATGTCAGTTTGAATTCAAATGATTCAAATGTCTGCATCAGTGTTTCTGCTATGATTCATTTCTTTCTGTCGGTTTGTACACAATAGCATCACTTTGTGGAAAGTGAAATGAATGTCATCTAGCCTAGCTAGTTAATTTTTAAAAATTATAGAACTGAAAAAAAGGTCGTATCAACTAATTACCCTGATTTCTTCTTTTCTAGGTGACAATGGCCAATATCGGAATAAATGGAAATCATTCTCTGGAAACCTGTGAAACGACGCTTTTTGCTCTCCGGATGGCAACATGGAATCAAATCTTAGATCCCTGGGTATACATTCTTCTACGGAAGGCTGTCCTTAAGAATCTCTACAAGCTTGCCAGTCGATGTTGTGGTGTGCATGTCATCAGCTTACATATTTGGGAGCTTAGCTCCATTAAAAATTCCTTAAAGGTCGCTGCTATTTCTGAGTCACCAATTACAGAGAAATCAGTAAGCATCTAGTTTAATAGGACGGTAAGTCAGTGTACGCTAGAACAAAATTAAGAAATGTTTGGCAATATTTCAGTTAGTTAAGTACCCGCAGCCTAACTGGAAAATTCAGAACTCATCATATAGTTTGAAGATACTTTTGTCAGATTCAGGTTTTGAAATTTGTCAGATAAACAGCACGGTCGTACATTTTTCACTTGTTTTTGCCAATGGGAGGTAGACACAATGAAATGCTGCCATAGGAGTCACACTGAAAGCAATTTGAGCTTATCTGTCTAATTGATGCTTTGAGCGAATCATCTGCTGAGGCCTAATGCCTTTACTTGGCCTGTTTGCCAGAGAACGTCTTCATGCAGCCTGCACAGTGAAATGGTTATTTTGAGATTACCACTCCGTAGCGATTCCTTATAAACTAGGCCTCATTTTTTGATCTGGCCTCTTTTGCCTCGCATTATGTAGCCTCAGTTAATACATGCATAGATACCTGGAATTCATGACGGTTTATTATAACAACCTCTGTATATTCCAGGCCTGGCTGACAGGTTGTCGGACCCTGCAATCCTGTCTAGCATGGGCGCATTCTTGTCATATTTGCCAAATACGACTGCTTATATTTATTACTATGAAGGTAGATTGTTGGAAGTGTTTTTCTTGACGTCATAGATAGCGATTTTCAAATAATTATTTTTTCCTCTAAAAATTTTAGTGCATGGTTGCACAATAAATAATTTTTAGAGAAACAAAGGCTCTATCTCAGCACATAGATGGGTAACTTGCATAACAGCAGTTTCAAAAGTCTATCATGTATAATATAAACAGAAGCTACGTGCCAGTGATAGGTGCAAAGAACATTGGCAAAAGGTGCTTTACCTTGAGCCATTATTTGTGTCAGAGAACAAAAGAAACATAATCAATATATAATATTTAAAGACTATCTGCAGCTAGTGTGTTTCTTCTTTACACATGTATATACACAGAGGCTGAGGCAGAGAATTGCTTGAATCTAGGAGGCAGAGGTTGCAGTGAGCTGAGATTGCACCACAGCACCCCTGCTTGGGTGACAGAGCAAGACTCTTTTCTTTTTATCAAAAGAAAATGCTGTTGATAGCAGGTTGATTAAATTTGTAAGACAGCATGTTCCAGAGCCTGTGCTACCAGTACCAAGAGGGGAAGACTGGCAATTTGCCAAGCATTTGGGGATTATTATAACGACTAACTAGGAGATCAAGAGATAATAACCTCTCCCCAAATTTTCCAATACTAATTGAGACTTTTTCTTTGCTTGTTCGTATAATTCAACCAAAAGAATTTCAATACTCTTTCAAATTGTCCTAAGTCTATCAGAAATTAGGGTAGGTAGTCCTGCTTTATAATAAGGAAACTCATTTCTGTGTAAGAGTTCTTTGCTTTAATTAACTTGGATCCATTTAAAAATTATTCCTCCCTGTTAGGCTGATTTCAGATTCTCTAGGAAGTCTGTGTAATTCAATGAGACTTAAATTATTACACTCATAAATATCTGCTTTTGATTGGTCATTTACATTGGAAGCCATTGTTAACTTTTAGTGAGTTTTGGTAAATTCCCATCAGTAAATTAAAAGGAATTAGGCAAATAGCCTCACTGAAGATCTAAAGGCAATAATTTTTCAGTAAGTTTAAAGAAAAGAAACACAAACATTTTGACACATGATCTCCTTAAGGTCAGTAAATAATTAATAAAACAAATTTAGGTTATTCTTATTTATAGAGCATATAGTAGATGCTCGACAAATACTTTCCAAGTTGAATTAGACAAGAGTTCCTTGGTGTAAAGTAAACACAGAATCTCAAAGTTTTGTGCAGTTTTAATTTAAACTAATGGTTATGGGGTATTGTGGTATATATGAGTGGATGTATGTATATACATGTGTGAATATGTGTGTGATATATATTTCTATAGCACATATGCTTTTTAAAAAAAGCTGCTGCAATTAGTGACTGTTATTACATAAATACTTTCATTTGTTTCAAGAAAACTTAAAGCCCAGAAGACCTTTCAGATGGGTTATTTGCTTTCAGAGGAGATATTTATTTCATACAATTACATAAGAGTATTGATGTGATGTGAACAGAGACATAAGGAATCATTTTCTATCCTTCCTCATCATGCTAGGTACAATGCTTCAGTGAATATTTCCACGTATTTGGACTGGGGAGAGGCATTGAGAGGAAACTCTCATTCAGGGGCTCCAGGCCCCTTCTTGAGGCTTCTAAATAAATGGCAGAATTCTTGCTCTATTTCCCTAATGTTACCCTGGCCATGTTCACTGCCTTGAGGAGATCTTGCAACATGACCATGTGTGAGAATGTGTGAGTATGCAAGGCTTTGAGGAGTGAGAGAGGAGTGTGCATATCCTAGGAGGATTATCTATGTTATCTGAGCATAGGTTTGGGCAACCAAATTGGTCTTAAAAATGATGTTAAACCCAAGAAGTAGGCATCAAAAATTGAAAAGAAAAAAAGCATGTGTGTTTTCATTGTTTTAAGTTTTTCTTCTGAGGAAAACAAAATTAAATAAAAAAATGCAACACTGTGCATGCATATCTGACTTCAGACTTTTATTTCTGTTATTAGATGTGTTGCATGTAGCTTGGTAATTTACTGTATGATGAATAATAGACTGGAACATCTACCAATAACTTTCATACAAATGTTCAGAATAGAAGTATATTTGTTCAGGTTTCTGGAAATAAATAGTAAATAGTACAAATAGTTTCAATAAATTTACCAATCCGAGTGTTTCTGGCTCTATTTCAAAACTCATAACTAATCTTCAGAGTAACTGAATTTCCCTTTGAACTGGGTAAGGCAATTATCCAAACAACTTTGCATACTATTTAAACATGATTCTGGATGATTTTATTATTCTGGGCAAATAACATAAACATGTCAGGATTTTTACAAGTCCTAGTGATTTTTTTTTTTTTTAAGATGAGACCAAAGCCAAAACATCACATAGGTTTTTCTGACTATGAATACAAAGATAGGTAATGCTAATTCTCAGTAGCTCTGGGTACATCTAGATATCAGACCTTTTACTGATGGGTTTAACTAGGGTGATAGAAATGTGCCCTTAATTTTTTTTCTAGAGGCAGAAAGTTGCTTCTAATTATATACATAGCTAAAGTGAAAAATATCTGAAAGTTAATACACACATATGTAGATATATTTGTGTTATGTGATAAGTGGTCTTGTTTGCACACTTCTGGACTTGAGAAGTCTGCATTTGTTTTGCACCTATTCTGAGTTTAGAACCCCAATAAGAGGACTTGTTAAATACACAGTGAACTTTTTGTGAAAACTGTTACTAGCTTCACCTGTATGCCATCATTGCTCCAAATTAAATAACTGTTTAGGGTCAGAATATAAATGCTGGGAATATACATTTTATTACTTCTTAATCTAGGAGTCAAAGATTTTACCACCTGGTAAATAATGTTGGACTTCAACTTGTTACTGACACATTTTAATAGTAGATGAAATCTGTTTTTCTTTGTTATGTGAATAAATGTATATTGTGCTCTTTAGACTTGTTGGATTGTATAGAGATTAAATAGTGATATGTATATTTTGTTGTTTGCTTTGCAACTCATGTAATTTCAGTGCTTTGACTAGCTTAAAACTTCAAACAAGTAATTTTACAATAAAGTTGGACTAATGTTCATCAAGAATGATTATTTTAGGAGGGCCATATAATACTTGATACTCTCAAACCTAAACTCCCATTTGTTACTTATTTTTTAATTTTATGTTAGGTTCTGGGGTACATGTGCAGGTCATGCAGGGTGTTGCATAGGTGCATACATAACCAGGTTGTTTACTGCCTCTACTCCCCTTCATCTATATCCAGCATTTCTCCCCATGTTATCCCTCCCCACCCTCTCCCCGCCACTATCCCTCCCTCAGCCCCCCACCACGACCCCCAGTGTGTGATGCTCTTCTTCCTGAGTTCATGTGTTCTCATTGTTCAACACCCACCTATGAGTGAGAATATGTGGTGTTTGGTTTTCTGTTGTTGTGTCAGTTTTCTGAGAATGATGGTTTCCAGATTCCTACAAGTCCCTACAAAGGACATGAACTCATCGTTTTTTATGGCTGTGTAGTATTCCATAGTAAAGAACGTAATTTTATGTGATATCATTTTCCCTTTTTGTCAGATGTCTGCTATGACCAATAGCATTGAGTTTCCAGATGGCTAAGTGGGGGTAGTTAGGAGCTGTATTGGGTTGCCAGGGATGCCATAACAAAGTATGCTGACTGGGTGGATTAGAACAATAGAAATTTATTTCCTTACAATTCTGGAGGCTAGCAACAAAAATGTGGGCAGGTTTGGTTTCTTTGGAGGTCTGTCTCTGTCTTGTATATGATTATCTTCTCCTCATTACTTTATATGGTCTTTCTTCTGTGTGTGTGTCTATGTCTCGATTTCCTCTTCTTACAGGGACACGAGTCACTCAATTAGGGTCCAGTCTACTGACTTCATTTACCCTTAAGTATCTCTATAAAGATCCTACTTCCAAAAACAGTGATTTTGGAGGATTTGGGATTAGAACTTCAACTATAAATTTTGGCTGGACACAATTCAGTCTGTAACAAAAGAATAGTTAATGATGTTGAGATAAAGCTATGCTAACTGGTCCATACAGGCATTGAGCCTGTTAACTTGGGTTTATTGGCCCACAGATAATCATACTGCTCTCAAACATTAGCATGCATCCTTTTTATATGGAGTATTTACTAAATAATATGGTTGGGCCCCCACATCAGTGACTTAATTCAGTTGGTCTAGGGTGAGGCCAGATAATTTACATTTCTAACAAGGCCCAAGGCAATGCTAATCTTAGGAATAGACTTTGAGAGCCACTGGCCAAATCACCTAGGCTAAGCAGCAACATGGCATACAGCTATATAAGCAGCTTTATATATGAACTATATAATAAACTATGAAGCTTTTTTTTTTTGAGACAGGGTCTCACTCTGTTGCCCAGGCTGGAGTGCAGTGGCACAATCATGGCTCACTGCAGCCTCAACTTCCAGGGCTCAAGCCATTTGCCACCTTAACATCTTGAGCAGCTGGGACTACAGGTGCACACCATCGGGCCTACCTAATTTTTTAAAAAGTTATTTTTTATTTTTTGTAGAAACAGTATCTCACTCTATTGCCTAAGATGGTTTCCTGGGCTCTAATAATCCTCCCACCTTGGCCTCCCTAAATGCTGGGATTATAGGCATGAGCTACCTTGTCCAGCCTCATGAAGCTTTTTGACAATGCAAAGTTGCTCCACTATTTTAGTAATGGCAATTTCACTAGTTTCCCAAATTGCATTTTTTGCCTCAACACAAAGCCATTTAGAACTGAAAAATGTAAAAGCTGTGCAGAAAAGGGCCAGAAGAACATGAAAAGATATCGATTTACAGTAAAAAATGTACATAAAAAAAAAAAACTCAGACATAAGTGAGTCAAGGGTTAGCTGGTCTAAAATCTCTTACTGGTTTCAAAAGGATTTTTGTCATCCTGTAGACAGGTAAAATTCCCATAGTCATCTCTGGGAATATTGCTTATGTTTTATTATTCTAACCAAAGCTTTTCTTCTTTTTAAAGAAAAAGTCCCAGGTCATTTGGATTAATTTTACATTTTCATTCTTACACTTTGAATGTTTATAATCGTCTTTGATCCTTGTACTTTCCACTCTTGTTTGAGCCCAGTTGGTCTTAAAATAATTTCCTACTCTAGTAAAATAAATCTTTAATAAGTTGTTGGCTCTCTAGGGGTGTACTGAGTATTTATTTTCCAAATAAAATATAATGCTAATCCTTTTCTTCTGGGACAAGTAAATTATTATAATGGATTTTATTCAAAATAATTAGAATGACAGTTGAGAAAAAGTGAATCAAAACCAAATAAAAATACTTGAATACAAAACCATTCTAAAGACGTTAAAAAGATAGTCTTTTATG